ACACTTAACGTTAAAATATATATATATATATATATATATATACACATATAACAACTATGAATTCAACTGAATCCTTAGGTTGAATTATTCGCTTTTAAAGTTTAATACTTAAGTTAAGTTAGATGAGAGTTCGATTACCATCAATTACTTAAAAAGTTCTTATGTTCAAAAAATAATAATAATAACAGCCATGTATTGATTTTAAAATAATAATAATAATAATAATAATAACAACAGCCATGAATTAAATTTGAAGAAAAACTGTCGGCACCGCCCCTTTTGCTCCTGATTCATCCATTTGTAAAAGTATACACAACAAAAAGATTGTATAGGACTTTTTCTTTGTTCATTTATTTATTTTCGGTTGGATAATAAAAAGTAATATACTTTTATTTTTAATTTATTTTATATGCATACCATACAACTCAAAATTACATTTTTTTATTTTTATTGAAAGAAAAATTATTACTAAACTATTTAGTTCAGTTGGTAAATTGTCTAGGACTGCAGAAATGAATCAAGAAGACCAGCAAACAATTCTCATTCATCATAGTCTGTCTACATTACCACCAATAAGTAAAACCTCACAACGGAAAATCCAGAACACAAGCATGGAGTCGAAAACGTATTGCATTGTATTCTCAACAGGAAAGAACACAACATATTATCTACAACATCGAACAAACAATAGTGTATAAATCGAACTAAAACAAAATAATTCTTTTCACCGACCATCAGTAGAGGTGAATGACTCAGCAAAACCGGTTGGCCTAGGTGGGATACTGCCTTTGCTGTCTCCTAGTTCCATATAACTTGCATCATTTCCTTCAGCTTCCTGCCAGCCCTTCACCATCTGGTTAAGTGGGAGGCTGTAATCAATGCCACAATAATCCTCAGTGTCATCATCCAGTGGCTTCCATTTCTCGACAAGTGGAGCTAATACATTCACGGCATGACCCATATCTGGTCGTTGGTTGGGCTCCCTTGTGGTGCAGTGTCCAGCAAGTTCAGCTATGATGCAGATGCTCTCAAATGTTTCATCTTTCATGTCAAGGGCGGGATCAACAGCAGCCTTCAGTTTCTCTTTATCTAACTTGATACGCCAGAACCATGCAGCCAAGTACTGGCTTTCCTCTGGCCTGTCCTCATCCAGTGCCATCAATCCAGTCAAAAGCTCCATTAAAACCACCCCAAAACTAAAGACATCAGCTTTGGTTGTGATTTTCCCTGTCACTGAATCAATGGCATATGACATTTGAGTCAGTACAAGATTAAAATATACCAAAAAAGATATCAATTTCACAAGAGAAAGAGACAAGCATCTAACATTTCAAATTATCTTACCCTTTTTTTTTTTACTATTGAACTTAAAGAGCATGCATCTCTGATTTTAAGTTCATTTCAGACACTGTAATTTTTTACACCAAAAACCTTTTCATTGTTAATCAACATTTCAGTTTCAAACTCAATTCCTCTCATCATACTAGCAAGGGTAATCTATCCATGGTAAACAGAATGCAGTGGATTCTCTAGTGGACCAGAGAGTATCCAAACTCAGCTTCATTTGAAAAAGACACAACTCTTGATTTGGGCATCATAATTTTTAAGATGGTCAAGTAAAAAGAGAAATGTCATGTGAAGTTTACTTTGAGACTATAAATGATAAGTTTAGACATAAAGTAATTTCTCATGCATTATGTCCAAAAACTTAACCAGAACTGATTTCACTCTAGGAAGCAGACATTAATTACCACCATGTAATCAACAACCAACCTTTCAAGTTCAGCTACTGACCATAAGCTCCAAATAGCGAATTACTGAAGTTTATTAGTTCTATAGACCTTAAGTTGTTGTTACAAATTAATGTTGCATTGATAAAAGATATTATAGCTGTATATGTCGTTACTTCATTGCAGAAGAGTGGAAAGAACCCCTGGCAGAAAGCTTACCTGCATACTCTGGAGCTAGGTATCCAAAAGTTCCGGCAAGCCTGGTAACAACAGATTTCTCCCCATCAGGAGCAAGTTTGACCAATCCAAAATCTGAAACTTTGGCTCTGAAATCATCACCAAGTAAAATATTTGATGATTTAAGATCTCTGTGTATGAAGCTCTGGTGGGCCAGGTTGTGAAGGTACTCCATTCCTCTGGCTACATCCAAGGCAATATTTAGCCGCCTCTTCCATGATAGTGGTTCTAATTTCAAGTTCTTCCAATGGAAAAGATGCTTACTTAGTGCTCCTTGAGGCATGTATTCATAAACAAGAATTCTCTCATTGCCTTCAATGGAATAACCCAATAGAGACACCAAATGACGGTGCCGGACCTTTGAAAGAACTGCAATCTCAGCCTGGAATTCATCCAAGGCTTTGCTACTGATTACACCAGCCTCCATTCTTTTAACAGCAATTTTCGTTCCATCATCCAGTTCTCCCTTATAAACCACACCAAAGCCACCACGGCCAAGCTCATTTTCTGAAGCAAAATTCTTTGTCACATTTCGAAGCACTTGAACTGATATGACTAAGTTTCCAGCTTCAATGACATGAGATTCACCACCAACACTGCCACTGTTTCTACTTGCTGAGCCACTACCTGTTAGGGTGGAAGTGCTTCCATTGGTATTATTGGCAACAGCAATCTTAACCATGTTATTGGAATCAGATGGATCTCTTGGGTGAATCACAAGGGAACTTGGAGGCAGGCTACTGTCTTTTCTTTTCTTGTAACAATAGACTGAAAGAGGAATGATAAGAACAGCAAGAACTGCAAAAATTGCAATGGGGGTAACAATTATGACTAAAGTGCTTCTTTTGAAACCTTTTTCTTTGGTTGGTTGCACGGGAGAAGCACCTTTACCAGATCCTGAGCTTTTGTGAGGTGGAGAGCCTGAGTTCTTAGTCGGTGATCCTGTATTCTCAGTTGGTGATCCTGAATTCTCAGTTGGTGGACTGTTTCCAGTGGAGGGGTTTGTGGCAGACTCATTATTATTCAATAGAGGATTATCATCTATGACGAGATGAACTGTTTTTGCAAATTTTGGTAATAGACCAGAAATGTTGTTGCCACTGAGATTCAAAGTTTTCAGAGACTTCAAGCTGGTCCAGTTTTCTGGAATTTGGCCACTTATATCATTAGACTGAAGATTAATTTGAGAAAGGAACTCCAACTTTGCAACTGAAGGACTCAAGATGCCAGAGAGATTAAAATGAGACAAACTTATGACAGAAACCTGCTGGTTGGGATTGCAACTTATTCCAAACCACCCTTTGCATGGATCGTTACCAGACCATGAATCAACAAGCCTAGTCGGGTAATTCACCCCACCAAGAAACTCTATAAGTGCCATAACTTCAGGGGCACAAGGAAGCCCCTCAGTGATTTGACAGAATGCATTTGAACCAAAACTCACATTAGTAGCTTTAAACTGTGGGACTGGACCCATTAAGTGATTATTGTTCAAATCTAACTTGTCTAACTTCATATTTGCTAAGCTATTAGGAATCAAGCCAACAAGTAGATTGCCATTAAGATCAAGATCCTTCAAGAAAATTAAGTTACCAATATTTTCCGGAATTGGCCCAGTGAACTGATTCCCGTGCAGCCATAGAACTGTAAGCGTCTCCATGGTTGCCACCACATCTATAGGTCCTGTCAACCCACCACCAAGCTGATCATTCAACCAAAGCGCCTGCAGATTCAGGCCGGCGAGACTCCTTGGAATTTCACCGGATAAACTATTGCCAGCAAGCCTCAAGTTCATCAAAGAAGTCATGGAACCAAGATAATCCGGCAAAGAACCAACCAAATTGCAACTGCAGCAAGAGAGTTCGGTTAATTGGGCAGAATCTTGCAGGGACTTGGGCAATGACCATCCAGTACTGGCATTAAAATTGTTGTGATCCAAAGCCAATACTTGCAAATCCACCAAACCGTCACAGAAATCATCTGGAATCGAAGAAAAATTGTTGAAATCCGCGTAAATGTACTGCAAATTCGATAATCCACTAAAGGATGGAAACGACCCACTAAATTGGTTTCTCTGGAAGCCAACGTTTTCCAGCATGGAGAGCCTGTTCAAGTCCTGAGGCAGAGTACCCTTCAACCCCTTTCCCTGAACCTGAATCTGAGTAACTCTTGAACCAGAACAGTAGACATGGTCCCACTTCGGAGAGCCACAGGGGTCATCGCCATTCTTCGGCCAGTTCAAGAGCTCCGGATTCTCTAACCCATCTCTGAACTTGAGCAGAACTTCAAGGTCACCCTGGTCAGTGGCCCCAAAAACCAGAGTAACAAGATAGAAAACCAGCAAAAACACGAGCTTCCTCTGGTAGGTTCCCATGACAGATCTGTGATGCTGCATTGGAACACCCTATGTACTACTAAAGAAGCTTCATTTCAGCATCAATGGCGGTTTCTTCAAAAACCCACCTCAAATCCTGCGTGAAATAGTGACAAAAACAGAGAATTCATGTCATTTGAAACAGTGAGAGATTTAGAAGAGCCTTTCAGAAGAGCAGCCGACAACACAGCAAAATTTCCCCTTGGGAAATACTCAACACAGAGATCAAAACTTTAAGAATTTGCGACTAAAATCCTAACAAAAACAAATATGGGCAGTACCTTATTGTGCATTTCTATCTTGGCATTCAACATTTATCACCAATTCACCGTCATCAAGATTTTGGAAAGTAACAAGTTTCTGTATGCCACAGAATACACCTCTCAGCCCCTCTCTCTCTCTCTCTCTCTCTCTCTCTCTCGTTTTCATTCATCTTGTTTGGTTATGCTTTTTAAGATTTTTTTTGTCTTTTTTTTAAAGCGTGGATTGTAACATACAAATTATTAAAGATAAAAGTAAAAATTTAGAGTTTTAACATATAAAATATTAAAATTTTTTAATGAAATTATGTAAATATTTTAAATAATTTTTTATATATTAATTTATTTAAAATATTTTAAAAAAAATTAAATTTTTTTTTAATATTTTAATTAGTAAAATATTTTAATTTTTAGATCCCATTATTAAATATCATAACAATTAATAATTTTTAATATTAGAGAATTGATTTTCTAAATCATGCAGTTTTGTATAACCCCCAGACTGTACATATTTTCTTTTCTATTTTCTATGTCCCTGTTCCTGATTTTTGGAAAAGGACATTATTGACATTCAGTCACGGAGGTGGGATTCCGTAAGAACATCATAATTCAACATTAATTTTTATTAACGATTTTGGTTGATAAAAAAAAAAATTAAAAATCCTTCTTTTTTTTAAAGGTTTGTTAAGCAACAGAAAGATGGGAAATTGATTTTTCAAAAAATTGTGGGGTTCTCCAGTGGATTGGTCCATTAGGACCTCTTTGTGCATCTTGATTTTTGGGACTTTGATTTTTTTTTTTTAACATAGTTACAATTTTAAAGGTGGGAGAATCAGATCTCAACCCTCAATTAAAGGATGCACTTTACAAACGACCTATAATCGTTATACTGTGAAGCTCATATGCTGTTAGGACCTTGATTTTGTCTTGTAGATGATGACAAGTAGTCACTGTTCTAAGTTCTAACCACAACAAAAGTTGTACTAATTCCTTTTATTGCTGGAATAATGCAAAGTTTCCGCAGAAAATAATCAGAACTGTTATTTTATTGGATCAGATGGCTTTGCAGATTTCCTGTCTGAAAAACTAATCACTGCACGCATAAATTCCGGATCATTATTACACTCAATACCATGAAGGCCACACGATAAAACATATTATTGTTCAGCTAATTTTTTAATTTAATTTAATTAAGGAAATTTCTGGAGCAATTGATTAATTTAAATTATTAATATAAAAACACATTTTTACCCGTATATCTAAGATTTTAACTCTAATTCTCCTTCTCTATTCATGTACAAGAGGTTCAAACTAACTGTAATTTTTAAATTTCTTATAGTTTGTGCTATTTCATTTGGTTTCACATGTAAATTTTCGAGGGATTTAATCTAACAATTAAATTAATAGTTAGTTATAAACTCTCAAATAAAAAGATTTGAATTATAAATAATAATTATTACCTTTGAGAAATAGAATTAGACTCTCTTCTTTACTCAAAATTTTATACTCAACAATATTAAAGCTTAAATTTATTAATAAATAGGCGTTATATATTTTGTAGGTTATGTTTAAAATTTAAATTTTAAAATAAAAAATTAATTTCTTAAAATATATTAGTTAATGTGAGTGTAAAACTAAGAATCATAAAATGAATTAAGCTTGAAATATATGAAACGAACTCAAAACACTTTTACAGCTAAAAAAAAAACCTTATGCCATGCTATCAAGGAAAGATGAGGTGCTGATGCTAGATTATAAAAAGATTTGGAGTTCTTTGGTTCCACCAAAAGTAATTGCCTTTTCTTGGCGACTGCTACAAGAGAGACTACCTACTTAAATGAACTTATTAAGTAGGGGAGTTCTAGATGCAAATAGTAATTTAAAGTGCTGCTGGTGTTGTTCTGCCCCCCTGAGCTTGTAGATCATATTATGGTAAATTGTGATTTTACTTATATAGTTTGTGGATGAGATGCTCTAAGTGCTGGAATAGGCCGTATGTGTTGTAACTCTGGCGTGGAGGTTTCTAATCAACACAGATGGTGTGGGGGATCAAAATTAATCAATAAATGTTGGGTGGTTGTTTGGTTTGCTGTCGTACGGACATAATGCCTGGGAGGAATGCGATGGTGTTCCAACACAAAGAAATTCAAGGGGACAGGTTGTTTGACCTTATACAAATTCTGTCTTTTTACTGGGGTAAGAGATTTAGTGGGTTGTGAAAATATTTCCTTTTCAAAATGAAGCCACATTCCTAGCAGTTGTTTGAGAATTGGATACAATAGAAGGAACTAGTTGCAGAAAGGGGTGTAGGTGAGAGTCTGCTATATATTGTTTATCCAATTCCAATATTCATAGGGTTGTAACTTTTATTGATAAAAATATCCTTTGCACTTTAATACTGAATAAAAGTTTCGTTACCCTTATGCCTAACAATTGAATGTTGACCCACCTAACGTTTGAACTTGTGAGCACATTTTCCTTTAATTTTGATGAAATTTCTACCTTAGAGAAAACAAGGGTGCCACCTACCTATCGAAGATTATAGACATTCACATAAAAAAAAAAAAAAAAATCATTTTAAAGGCATTACACATGGCAAAACCAGGTCCAGTCTGACAGCCGCCGTACGTTTCCAAATTTCAACTTAACTAGCGGTATAGCATCATGTCATGATTTCACATGTCCTCGTCTCTACAGTATTGCTATCATCCTATTTCCTTCTTCTTTTTTTTTTTCTCCTTTTTCTCTTAAGAGAGTAGACTGTAGCTTACATATCATTTCATTAATAATGTACCAATTGTTGTGGATTTCATTACCTATTTAAAAAAAAAAAATTGTTATGGAGGTAAGTTTTCCAATTTTAATATCTTTAAGAAGATATTAGAAATTTTAAATTCATATTATGATATCAAGTTAATGAATTGAGAAATTAGGGATGAGAGAGGATATTTCCTCTACTATAATACAATTTAAAATAAAATAAAATAAATACTGAATAACTCATTAATATAGTACAATTAATTTATTAAATTATACATACAAAGGAAACAGCAAAAACTGAATTAAAAGCAAGGCACCTGAGCCAATGATGAATTAGTTTAGTGACAGAGGCTAAAAGCAAGGTTGTGGGTTTTAGTTCTGCATGCACAAATTGTTGGTCTATGTTAAGGGATTTTTTTTTTTTAATTGTTGTATTTTTGTTATAATTTGTTAGTTAAATATTTTGGAGAGTTGTGTTG